ATTTACCTTCATATTATTATATATAATCCATATTATATATGGATTGTTATATTGCTAATTCTTAACTCAGGCTATATGGTTGCCAATATTTCTATAACACTGAAAATGAATTAACTATTTTTGGGTTGTTGTTTTTAATTGAACCATTGTTATGTTGCTATCATTTTTTGTTTAATAAAGCAAAAATGTAATCATTATACAATGGAGTTGAACATTTTGGACTTTTTTTTTTCATTTTTGGAGGGTTGGGGTTTGGGTTTTCAGGGGCAAAATAAGACTTTTTTGAGGTTTAAGGGGGAAATGGGTGCCTTAAAGCTCTCTAAAGCTTAAAGCACCAATTTTGCCAAACACAGAAAAGAAATGGATTGAAAAATATGGTCCTGCCCATTCTAATGATATCACATGGTCACCCATCATACATCCTTAATCATCCATCCTAGATTAGGAACAGGAAGGGATGCGTCCAGGTTGAGATAGATTGTTCAGCTATCTACATGCAGTTTCCCATAATAAGATTTTATTTCATTGAAGTGTCTTCTCACATGATTTTTATAACTGCAGTCACTGTATACAGAAGCATATTGTTTTACTGTACCAGTGAGACAAAATGAGTGACTGAAGAAATAATAGTAACATAATAGGTTTATGACAATCTTCCCTTTCAGATGTACTGGACCACACTTCAGACCATCCTGAGCTCTATGCTGGCTGAGCGAGTTGGGAGTTGTACTCTACATTTGGAAAGGACAAGTTAGGAAAGACTGAGCTACATTTTTCCAACTATAGATGTATGTGTATAAACTCTACCAAAGGCACAAAAGTAAATTAAAATATATTCCACCCTTCTCCAACTGATGAAATTGACCTCATTAGCAAGGGTTGATAGGTATGAGAGTCTAACTCATCAGAAGGGATAACAAGAGGTGGCCCCAGTAGGGGTGCCAGTAGGGGGCAAATGACAAAAGCAACATTACATAGTTGTGATGGAAGCTCTTCCCATTTTGTACTTGCATCATGATGCCACATGCACTTATGTAACAAGTGGAGCTTGTGTCACAATGATGCAATGCTGCATTCATCATTTTAATGAAAGGGCTAGATCTTGCAGATCCTTTGGGTGTAACCAATTCACAGATATGGAAGATCTTATACAACTACAGCTAGAGCCCCTTTAGTCTTTTACTAAAGCTATAGTAATCAAGCAGGAAATGGCATAATCCTCATCCTATGGTATTACATTCTAAACCAAAAATCCCTATCTGCTATTCCTAGCAACTTACAACACTTGATTGGCAGACAGGTGACCAGGAAGAGTCAGTCACTGTTCTGGATTTGAAGTGTCAGCAGATGAGACTGCTTATTTATTTATTTATTTATTTATTTATTATTTTATTTTATTTTATTAAATCAATTTATATAGCCACCCATATCACTACAGATGACTCTAGGTGGCGTACAACATTTAATAGGAATGGGGGAAAGAGAGGCCCTGGACCCTTCTTTTTTCTGCTCTATGCAAGCACATCCTTCCATAACTTTCCTCAGTCTCTAACCTTGATTCCATCTGTCGAGCCCATGAGAATATGGTCAGCTTCTAGAGGATGCACATTGCGGAGAGAAGCTAAAACCATGAGTGGGACTGTCTGGAAATAGCATGTGTCCTTGCAGTGCCAGGATTCATAATTAACCAACTAATAACACCATCCCAGCAACAATCTGTGCTGGGATGGAAGCTGAAGCATATACATCATCAATAAGTGCAATTAGGTCCCAGGATATATTCCTATTGTAATCCAATTGCTTATACTTCAGATTGCATTGTGTTTTTCTCCTAGACCTGATGACCTTTGCTTCACTGTTATCATGTCTCTGTTTTGGCCTTCACTGCTGTGTTTTTTATCTCTTTGACCTCTTCTTCACTATGAGCACTTTTGTCCTTGAATCCAATTCACTGATAAGAACTTTTTTTGTCTTGATTTCAGACTGATTTAGTTTGAATGGCCTTGCCTTGCACATTAACTGAAAGTGCCTCTCTAATTTATGACTTGTTATAAAGGCAGTGCACCAGAGTAGCAGACATGACTAATATCTAAACCAGAGGAAAAAAATAAATGAGTAAATGATAACAGCTACTTCTGCTGTATGTTTTCAAAAGTACTATTGCCATCCACAGAAGAAAAACCTAGTTGGTGGAATGGCAAAGAATTGAATATGGCTACCATTTTTGTTTCTGGACTTATTATCCACTGTGACTTGCCTTATACCACATTAGATGGTTGATCTGTCTAACATGGTATTTTCTTTATTGATTGGCAATGGTTCCCTAAGGATTGAAGCATGAGTTTTTCCTTACTTGAAGATGCCAAAATTCGAACCAGGAAACTTTTGTAAGAAAATCTTGTGCCATATTATTACACTGCAGTCTTTCACCTTTGGGTTAGGGCAAAGGAAACAGCAGCAGAGGTTGCTTGAGATCCAACAGGTACAGATTTTAAAAACACAGATTGTCCCTGATCATATCTACTTGGTCCCTCAGTTGCAAAGAATTCAATTTAACGCTGGTTGAATTCCAATGCAACAGTACTATGATTTTGTATTTTGTTTTACTTTTATGATGTGCTCAGTCCTCAAAATGTTCACGTATATTTTGAATCTAAAAATCCCACTGTGCTGAGGCGTGGAAAGAAATACCTTCTTGGGAAAGCAGCTAGTAGCAAGAAAATAATGCATAAATACGAATCTAAGCTGGAGATGCCAGGCAGTGATTGTTGACAGTGACGATGCCCTTTCTGCTCACCACTGTAGCTAGAGAGGAAATCTTTTACTGTAAGCTTTTGAAAGAGAGAAAAAATATTTGAAACATTGTTCACATACTGCATAGGATTTCTCACTTCCAAGGGTGTGTGGATAAAAAAAAAAAACCCAATAAATGTATTTTAGCAAGCACAGACATTTTCAAAGGAGAGGTTCAAATACAAATCCCATTGTTACCATAGGTATGGTCCTTCCAAACTCTATTTTTTACAATAAAGAATAAGCAGTGGGATATAAAAGCAGGAGTTGATGTAAATCATACCTATTGATAACCTGGTCTCCATGATTTTGTGTGAATCTTTTCTAGTTAGTGGCCATCAAATAAGGACATTATTAGGAGAGGTCCTCAGGAATGAATTTAATGTGAGTGCTGAGGAAATTTGCTTAGGAAAAAACTTGAAAGAACTCTAATTCTAGAATAGAGAATATAGGAATAGGCAATTGGAAAGGAATATTTATCTAAACCCAGCAGCCCTAGTAGTAAAGTTGCTGGTAAAGTTTAGACTGCAAGGGACTTGATATACCCTGAATCCAAGATGCTACTATAATGTGTTTGTGTGTTGGGGTGGCAGGAGGCAGGGTTATAAGATTACTTTAGCAAGTGGAGTATACCAAACTCATACTTAGGAACTTAGTTCTTTTCAGTTGCTTGTTCAGAAATAAACAGTATTAGTTTACTAGCCAACCAACCCAGTAGCCCAAGTACTGTGAATATAAAGAAAAAAAGCAGTAACTTTAAATTACTCAGGAAATAAGTGTTGGGTTGGCATTCTGCCCTCTGGGAAACAAATTGCTCTGACAAGGTCCATGAAACTCAGGGAAGACTTTTCTCCTAGCTGGGCCACTTAGGTTCCACCCACTTCCTCGTGAAGATGATTCTGTAGCCTAGCATGCTTATTTTTTATTTATTTTTATTGCTTTTTAATCAGCCTAGCACCCTTGTGATCAGTTCCCCCACTGTGTAAGAGGCCCTGTGAGATATAGGGCTCATTTTTCAGGGGAATCTGTATAAGGAAATATGGCTTCGGGTTGATAGGCCTGGCCCTGGGCTCAAAGGTTGCACTGCTGGCTTTTGTGCGCCAGCTTTATTTCTTAGTCTTAATAAGGACGTAACCCAATAGCGATAAATACATTGTTTAGTGTATATAGTGAATATAGTATACTCATATACCTGTATAATGATATATTGAATCTTAGCCAAACATCTTAAGGAGTCCTACATGCATTTTATGTGGGCTGTTCTTCCTTCTCTTTTCCTCTTCCATCTATGCTCTTTGGATTTTGCTTTCAGTTTATTGATAAGGGAATAAAATTTCACGTCATTAAATACTTGATAATGAAGAAAATAGAAGTATTTCTTTCTCTTGCTGGAAATAGCTATGTAAATGGTATTTGCATTAGTCATCTTAAATAATGAAATTATTGTAACTATAAAAACCCATTCTGCATACATGATTATAAGTAAAAATTACTGAGTTTAAACAAATGTAATAATTGTATTTTGAAGAAATATCTTTAAACAATCTAACCATCGTGCCATAGTGCAATTAACACAAAGTACAAAATACATTTATCACAATAATTTCAGCAGACAGAAGGGCATTAGATACATTTCTGTGTAGAATTTAAGCATTTAATTATTTTCAGCTTCCCTGTATTTAATAGATGAGCTCCAAAGAGCTACATTTTGCCTTCTATTTTAAGGCAGAATATTATTAATTCTAATGTATTTAAAACAGTAGGGAGATATATTAAACATCTAGGACTTGCTAGAAGGCCATGAGCAGAGATGACGTGACAGAGAGAGAATTGAATAACTCAAATATAAGATCACTTCACAGTTTCTTTTTTAAAAGGTAAAGTTCAAAATAAAATATGATACAAGAAGGTATTTATTTATTTATTTATTTACTTTTCAAATTTATATATGCTGCCCATCTCACTATACAAGGTTTGTTAGATTATTAATGATCACAGTAGAAGTGTACTGCATTTAAATGAATTCCTTGCTTTCAGAGAAAGCAGCATTATTGCACACCAACAAATGAAGGAAAGAGATATATGGGAATTGAACAACTGTGATTTTTTTTAAAGTTTTGAGCCTTTCAATTGTTTTTTGCATTTACATACCCACACATGCATATAGACATTAAATGATATATGTATTGGATTTATTTTTCTTTCAGGGTCTTCATTTTGGTGCCTATTGGATATTGTCCCAATTAAGAATGAGAAAGGTGATGTTGTTCTGTTTCTGGCTTCTTTCAAAGACATAACAGATACAAAAGTAAAGATTTCTCTGGAAGATAAAAAAGATGGTGGGTATCATTTTTAGAATAAAAATAAAGTTTTTCAGAGGACAATATGTGGTGTGTGTGTGTGTGTGTGTGTGCTGTATGTATGGCTATATGTAAAAGGGCCATGAATTCATGTCATTTGTAATGTCACATAGATCTTGCATCTAGACTCTGGTTGAATGAGAACGTTCTTGCTGAGACTGGAGAATAATGCACCTTCCTATTTTACCAGCAGTAAATAAGCACTGAATCAATGCTAGAAGATTCATGTATAGCAGTCTTTGTCAACCTTGGCAACTTTAAGATGTGTGGACTTCAGTGCTGGCTGGGGAATTCTGGGAGTTGAAGTCCACACATCTTAAAGTTGCCAAGGTTGAGAAACACTGATCTATAGTATTGGGAAATGCCTAGGAGAAGACATATTCTTTATCAGGTATTATGCATAAATAGGATCTGAAGTATCCAGAGAAATGAGAAAGAGCAGAATGGTTGCAGTGGTGGAGAAATGTATTTAAGAAAAAGAGAAATGGCTAATGTAATATGGGGAGGGGGCACTGCTAGTTTAGTCTTCCAATCATAGCTATTTCTCTCTCTCTCTTTTTCCCCAGAAAGGCTCTTTAAAGGGGGGAGGAGGGGGAGTTTACAAACTTTTACTGTTTGGAGCTAAAACCGTAGTCTAATTACTGTGATTCATGAAATTATTCATTATATTCCTAATTCAGGATGGTAGTTTTGAAAAAAACTCATATCTAAATAGCAAATGATGTAATGTGTTCTGAGTATGTGTTCTTTAAAGTTCCTCTATGAGGGCAAAATTAAATATAAACCAGACTTGATGGAAAATCTCTTCTTTAACAGTAATGCCGTAATTAAATTGTTTTACAGATGGGGAATAGAAAGGAAGCTCTATGGATGAGCAGTACAGTTCTGCAAACATGTGACTCTGTCTGCTTTTTCCACTCTGTATGAATGCAGAACTATCCTCTGCTCATTCTTCAGCTGAGGGTTTTTTCTTTTTCTTAAAGAGAGACAAACTGTAATTACTGCATGTCATGTTAAATGGTGTTACTTGTTGGTGATATCATGGAGATCACATAATCATTCCAACAGAAACTGAAACACAGCTAAAGAAAAATGATTTTCTTCATCAACTGGGGTATATTTAACATATTTAACGTATATGCTAAATTGATAAGAATTTAGGGGGAAAAGACCCAGCCATGACAGGTTGTCCCACAGTAAATATATCATCTAGTAAGAGAGAGGGAGGGGCATGCATTTACATCTTGTTGCAACCTCTCTGACTCTTAGCAGTTTTCAGATTTAAAAAAAATAAAACATCCATAGGAGGTATAAAATATAAAATCAACATTCAAATTTCAGCACGCTTTTAAAAAGCATGGTTGCCAGTATTCCTTTTGCTTCACCCAGAACCCCTCAGGATGGGCAGACCAAAGCGAACCATGTATGGGTTTTTTGTTTTTTTTTGGTGTGTGTTTTCCTTAAGCCTTGCAGACATTTATAACGCTCATTTCACCACTTATACTCTGAATTTTCTTCAAATTAGATCCCTAGCTCCATCTGCTTTCAGAGTCTGGCCCTTGATATGGCATACAAAAACTGAAGCAGTCTTTGAGGCCATAAAGGCTATATATATTTATTTAAAATTATTTTTGCTTGTGCCCATAATTGCATTTTGCAATAAAAGATTTATTGGCATGTACTAATAAAGTTATCGAAGAGATGTCTCTAGCCATTAGTGCTGGATCATCCTGCAGCAGGCTTTGATGGGGATGCATTATTCCTTGTTCTCGTACTCTTGTGTAAGATTCCTCCTGCAACCATTTCATTTCCATAGACTCAGCCATATTGCTTCAACTCTTTGAGATACAGCAAGCATCACTTTTAAAATGCGAGACTTCTTAGAAAAGCCATGAACAAATAACTAGATGGCTAGCTTTGCTCCTGAATTATGGATAAGCATACTGGTCTATCATCTTCCAGGAACTAAAGTTTCACTGCAGGAGATAAAAATGTTCTCAGATAGGAAAGGTCAGGTAATGAACAGAGAACTAGACTCTGATGCTGAACTAACTGTATTTCAGCAACATGACATGGAGAGGAGAATCTTCAAATGCACAGTGGACTAAATGAAGACAAGGTCTTTGTCTCAGTATGGATGAAATCCATGGCATATGACAATATTTCTTTTTCTGGTCTTGGCAACTGATTAGCAATGACTGACTGACTGACTGACTGACTGACTGACTGACTGACTGACTGACTGATTAATTAAACCAATTTATGTAGCCGCCCATCTCACCACAGGCAACTCTGGTGACAAAGCTAAAAACAATCAATAAATACATTAATAATATAAAAACCAAAATAAAACAGAGAATAAAAGGATGTTAAAAATAAGGGAGCCACCTCCCTAATTCCCCCATCCCCTGGGGTCCCCAGGTCTGCTGGGATAACCAAGTCTTTAGGGACCCCCAGAAACTCAACAGTGAGGAGGCCAATCTCACCTCAGGTGCAGGTGCCACAGCAGACTTATATGGCTACCCTCAGAATTTATGTAGTCTATTTTCCCCAGCCCTTAAAATAAATGCTATGCCAGTGAAAACAGTTTCTAGATTTAGAATGTGTAACTAAGTTGTATATTTCCTAAAGTGTACATTGGCCAAGCTTTTCTTGGAGCTTTCAAGGTTCAGCTTTTTTAAAAAAATTGAAAATGGAAGGCAGAGGGAATTAAAAGGGAACTGACAGGATAGGCTTATGCACATACTATGATTGTATCACTGAAGACTACATATTAATTCATTAATTAAATTTTTCAATTTATATGGCCACTCATCTCAAACAGATGGCTCTGGTGGCTAACAGAGAATGAAAACAAGATAAAAACATCATAGAAAAACAATAAATAACAAATATGGGAGCTGAGATAAAGCCAACAATACAATCAACATAGCCAAGAGATGGGCTTAACCACACACCACATGCCCCATTGTTATTTTGCCTTTTGTTGCTATACAAATGTCTTTATAGTTCCTTTCTGGATCTTCAATGGTTGAGGCAGGAGGAGGAATGAAGGATGTCAACTTTGTTTTCTTGCTCTGGATTTTCTTTTGCAGCATAGACCAAAAATAAATAAATAAACAAACAAACAGGGTAGGGAAAGTAGCAAAGCTGCCCCCTGAGTCCTGCTGAAGATGGGGAAGTAGAAGCCAAGGCACCATGGTGCCCGACCTTTAGGCAGAAAATCTCAGGAAGAAGACAAGGTGTGAGTTCCTGCCAGCATGAATCTGCCTCCCCTCCCGAACTCCAATGAAAGGCTACAAAACTGTCATCACAACATTTGCTCTGAAGCAGGCACTCTGCTTCCCTAGTAATACAGGTAGGCCTCGCTTGCTGACTGCCTCATTCAGCGACAAGTCGAAGCTACAACGATGCTGAAAAATAACTTTGCATCCAAGGTGTGCATTTTTGACCTTCACAGTCTCTCTCTCTCTGTCTCTCTCTCACATGTTCACCATTACAATCAGTTATTATGCATTGTCCTATGCCTGACCCTTTTTTTTCTTCTCCCCCGCCCCCTGCAGAGCAGAGAGTTTGGAGAGGAAGGGATTACAAGAGAGTAAGCGGGCACGCAATGGGGAATACACATTGAAAGGAATGCACTAGCGCCAGCTGTTTGCCAAGCATGCTTGGGTTGTGGTTACTAAATGAGAACTACCTGTACAGCAGTCCTCTGGAATCATATGGAAAGAGCTTAAGTACAGAAAATAGAACTGAATCCAAAACTCATATCCTAATCAGCTCTGGGATTATACTTCTTAGAAGGTTTTGAACACCTAACATTTAGGTTGAATCTGACGTTTCTGAATTGTTGTAGCTAAATCCCAGCTAATTCTGGGTGCTAGGAGTCAGAGCCCAGGGACCAGGAGGGAAAGCCAAGAATTTGCAAAATCTGAACATTGCCCAATCTGCATTGGTAATGGAAGCACAATTACTTATGAATTATGCTTTTCCAGACACAGAATGTAGAGTATTATACAAGACTTGGACTGCTTCCCAAAAGAAATGTGTCTATGCTTTTCCTTGCTGGCTTTTTAGAAGAAATACAAGACCTACTTTCTTATTCAGTCTTTTTTTTCCCCAGTGAGACAGCAGTATTGGCCTAGTTTTTAACAGTACTGTAGGCTTTCTTTCTGATATACCTGTCCTCAGCATTCCCTTCTTATTGTGACCCATGTCAAACATATAAATAGTTAATAACAGTTAAAGGAGTACCTTTAAAAAACCTAGGCACTGTGTAATGTAAACTATGAACTATGTAATATAAAATATAAACTATGAAATATGAAATATAAACTATGAATTTAGGCACCTTTAAAATTCAAACATATTCTTAGAAGACATTTGATTTAACATGCAGGAAAAACTCAGATTTTCCACAAGTCTTTAGTCTAAGTTCCTATGATCTGTGGTATTCGTTCCATGATGTGCCTTTTCAGGGGCATCAACTGGGGGTGTTGTCAAAAAAGTAACAATGATTGAAGCCCCAGCCAAGGTTAAAAAATGTCAGGGCTTCAATCGCACAGTCACAGCTGCCTTCTTTACTCTTTGGAATCCCCCCTGCCGACATCCTTGTCGTTCTGCTGCTGGCAAGCCACTTTGGAAGCAAGAAAAATGATTACATCTTTAAAGGACATCCTTCATTTATGTTTCCAAGATTATGCTACGTTACCTCAATACATTTTAACCCTAAGCTAGCAGCCTTGGTATGATTCCCCTGTCATTGCTGTTCAAACAGTTTGAGAATGGACAAATAAGAAAAAAGAATGCTCCAAAAGGCCATTATTTATATAGAAAACAGTTGAAGAATATAAATAACCTTCAGGCAGATATGATTAAATAAAGGGTATTACCTTGAGAATTGAATGAAAGAAGAACTACACATAACGTAATGGAAGTCTGAAAAAAAATATAATACGATACGGAATATTGGGGAGGTAAAGAAAAGCCTTAGGACTTTTAAGTTTGTTTTACAATTGTAAGTATCTAATAATTTTCTTAAATTAACTTACTTATAAAGCATTATCACAGGACAAAGTCTTTTTCAGATCTTTTGTGCATATTGGCAAATTGCAGTTAGCCAGAATTCTGGAAAAGGAAAATTCTATTCTGCAGTGGAAAGTGATTCAATTTGGAGATCTGCTGGGGACTAAGCAACATGAATAAATAGCACTCATGTGCTTATTCATCTATACTAACCTTTATTTCCCATGTACTACTTTGAAGCTCAGTGGTAGCTTAAGCCACAGTACATTGAGAAACTATAGCACCAGGGAGAAACCATCTGCAGAAGGTCCAGGATTCCATCTCCAACCTTATCTAGGTAGGGCTAAGAATGTTCCTTGTCTAAAAAAACTGGGGTAGATAATATTAAGCTAAACACAACTTCCTATTTTCTGTGTTTCTATCATATGTACATTTTAATTACAAGATAGTTTTACAAATCAATAACTATGTAAGTAAGATATGGCTTACTTACTTACTTACTTTAGCTACAATATTGTTGGGATTCAAAGGCCCTCAAATTCTCCCTCATTTTTGGAACTATCTATCTAAACACTGGTGTGATGCCAGTGCCTTACTTCTTTGAAAGCCTATTTTTATTCAGCCTTAATAGTTGTGGAACTTGTGTTTTGAACCAAAGGAGAGATAAAGCATGACTTAGAGATGATCTTCATATAATTAAATAAAATATAAAAAAACATGGTGCCCTCAGGCATCAGTATGGAAGGGGATATCTCAATCAATACCACCAAACTTCCTGTCCCATCTAATTGCAAATTGGTTTGATTGTTTAGATAAAAATAAATGAATGGCATGCTGGCATGCTGCAAAGTAAGGAGAAATCCTTTAATATACTCATTATTTACAAGTATGTCTAATAAATGTTTTTTTAAAATAAAAATGGGTGCCTTCCTGCCCAGAAAAAAATAAAATAATGTATGGGGTTATAGAGGGGTAGTGAGGGCCCTGAAAAGATAGATAGATAGATAGATAGATAGATAGATAGATAGATAGATAGATAGATAGATAGATAGATAATTTACTGACCATGCTCAGTATGGCAACTTCTTCATGAATAATCAAAGGCCTCTCCATGCACAGTAATCAGTTTAGAAGAACTTCCATTGCATCCTCTCAAAATTTTAATGTATCTACTCCTCCTGAAAGCTTTGCTTTCTCTTCCATGAGTGACTTTAGAAATCCAAGAAATGTGCAAATTTTGGAAAAGTGACATACTTCACCCAGGGTGGAATTCTGTTCAATTCAGTGCAGAGGTTATTGTTTTGGAAAGTTATCATATCCACATGGGGAAGGGGAATTGTGAAAACAATGTGTAGTCAGTTAAAAGGAATGATGGAAGAAAGTTTTCAATAATGTTAAAAAGCAGTTGCACCCTAATTGCCACAGCCACTATGTAATAACAGACCACATGGCCAATGGTAAGGAATGCTGGGAGTTGTTTTTCAACATCTGGAAGGCTACAAATTCCTTATCCCTGGCAGTTGTTTTGCTGTTCCAAGGAGCACATGGGGGCAGGGGTGTCAAATAAGTCAAGATAGTAATCAGGACTGTACAATTTAAGTCCCACACTTTTTTACATGTGTCACACGAGTGGAGGGTTTCTATGGTGTATTTGTAGCCACCATCTTGACTTACTGGACTCCTCTGTCCCCATCACAAGTTGTTCCATATCTTCCCAATACTTAACTGGTTAGGTAGGTAGGTAGATGACAAAGAAAAACAAAAGAATTTCCAAATCAGAAAAGAGTTTGTTGGCGTCAGCAAAACCAATAGATCTTTAGAGATATCCCTGGATTAATGTGCTTTAATTTTGAAGAACAAAAAAAGAAGGAAAAGTATGAAGGAAAAGCTACCTGCAACAATGAGGGTATGCAACTCTGAAGTATCAGTAGTTCACTTTCTGGAGGCTGCATTTAAACAAATGTAATGTGTCATCTCTATTCTTCAGAAAAATGCAAAGGAAGAGGAAGAGCAGGATCACATTTTGACTCAGCCCGCAGACGGAGTAGAGCTGTCCTTTATCACATCTCTGGACACCTACAAAGAAGAGAAAAGAACAAATTAAAAATTAATAATGTAGGTATAGAGAATGAAACATTTTTATGCTATTCTAAATAAGATGGGGGGGGGGTTGTGTGCTACTCAGAAGATTTAGATTAAAGGAGGGACTACTAATTGTTTATAATTGTATTTGATGCCCCTTCCTATTTTGAAGATATGTACTGAAATATAGATGTAGAAAATAAAACCTTGGCCAATACAATGTTTCTTGTAAGTGAATTAAACTACAATGTCAAGGAGAAAATGCAATGGACAGAGACTAGGATCCTTGTATTTTATAATGATATTCATATGGTTTGGTATAAATGTCTAGGGCTCAACCCAGACATTGTGCTAATAGTATGTTTGTCCTTTTATAAAACTTCATAGCAAGTGTAGGCAAAAAGAGCTTTAATGCTTTCCCCACATCCCCCTGCGCCGTGATTCAGATAATTTCCTGCCTCACAAACGCTTCTCAGAAGCAAAGCCCCAGTGAAAGCTTTCCTCCCCAGCTAATAATAGATGGAAGGGCTATTTTCATCATGAGCCCAGCAGGAAACTGCATAAACTATCATGTGTTTATTTATTTAGTTAAAGAACAGACCTCAGGATTAATGGCATGTTTTGCATCAATCTAGAAAGCAGTGAGTGTGGCATCACATTCTCTCCTCTCCTATTTATTGTAGAAGTTAGATCTCACTGTGCCAGTGTGTAAAATTCTCCAGCTCATAGCACAACTGAAAGCATGGGAAGCCCAAGGTAGATATTTTGTACCTCCTGAGTTAGGAGCAAGGATTGTATGACGGATTCAGGTCTTTGCAATCTTTTTCATGCATATAGATCAGGCAAGCCAACATCCCTAAAAGAGTCAGAATGTAGTATTATTATTCTGCTCTTTAAAAGGGAGAGGAAAAGTCTTATTGACCAGTTATTTGCCAGTTTTCTAAGCATCATCAGTTTACTACTTAAGTCAGTGTTGTCCAAACTTGGCCACTTTAAGATGAGTGGACTTTAACTCCCAGAATTCCCCCGCCCTCCTCGCCGGCCGTGGGGGTGTCGGGGGTGGTATGGGACCGCTTTTAATTTGGCGAAGTTTGGTAAAAAATGCTCTAAGTCCT